GTGCCTCATTGAGAATATGAAGCAGGTTATCAACCCTGAGTCGATCAAAGTCAGTGTCGAATGCCCAGAGTGGAAGAGGGACCACGTGAAGGCGGTGGGGAGATTCTGCGGCACTATTCGGAGCATGTGTACACAGATTGGTATCGAGGTTATTGCTGTGCGAGGGGAAATGGGACCGCCCAAATCGACTATATGGACAGTGCCCACGACGGCCTCTCCGAGGCCGATGCTTCTGGCCGAGTTTACCACGACGCGGGCGACATGGGAGGTATCGAGTGAGACTGTCGACAGGTTGCATCAACTCATACCTGCATTTACTAAGACGAAGGCTGATATCGAGACGGAAGTCAACAGGAGGGTGTGACGACGACGACGCCGAACACCGTTCAAGGGGATCCGACTGGGTAGCTGGAACCTCAATCGGGCGGGGTCGGCCAATTTCAAGGGGAATGAGATTCTGAGGTGCCTTTCAATGCGAGATTGCATCTGGGGTGTCCAGGAATGCCAGAATCTTTTTGGAGGCAAATTCGATGCATATATCAGACGGTGTGGTCTATCATATCGTGTGAGTTGTGACGGTAAGTGTGGGTTATTATTTAACAAAGAGTGGAGTACGTGTGTGCGTGAATCAATATGTCAATATGAACGGTTCTGTGTGGTGGTCTTTGGTAGTGGAAGTGCCCCTGTGATAGTTGCCTCTGCGTATCTTCCCGACCCCGGCGTCGAGAACGCCGTAGATGTGCAGTGCGTGGTGTTGGACGCGCTCGAATCAGTCATTCTCACTCTGCGCAGCCGCTGGAAGGGGGCGACTGTCTCTGTGCTGCTCGACGCCAACGTTGAGCTATCCCCATCAACTCAGCTGCAGTGCTCACGCACTGGGACTGTCTATGAGGCGGTGGGAAGTGCTACCAAGGAGGAGAGGAGGACTTGCGAGGAGGGAGGTGCACAGCGGGTGAGGAGGGACGTACGACAACAGTTGCGCGAGCGTGTTCTTTGCTTTCTAGGGCGCCTGGGGATGAAGGCTGCCAATTCGTTCTTGCCACGACGACTACACACATGGGAGAGCTACGGAGTATCTCGGTGGGGGACGTGTAAGAAGGTTCTTGATTACATTTTTGTTCCCAGGACGTGGGTGATCGATGAGATGAGGTTGAAACGATCATGAGTAATGGGGGGAAGACAAATCGTAGTCGTCTCAGCGACCATGGCCTGCTTCAGGGGACTTTTAGTGACACAGGCGCTGAGCTGGTCAAACGTAGTATCCCGACGGCAGCTCGTGAAAAGAGTTTGGTTGGTTATAAGACGGTGAATTGGGGGGACCTCAATATGGCGCGAAAGGAAATCGATCGGGTCTTGGGAGATGCCAATACTATTTGTTCTCCAGGGGACCTTGTGTCGACCACTATTCGGGCCTGTACTGAGCAGGAGGATATCAAATTCACGACTGCCACCACGGGACGGGGACTACCGCCAATTAGGCCTGCAGGACTCACGGCCTGCCAGGAGATTTTGCGACGGAAGCCTCTGCCAGCGTCAGTGGATGTGCCCAGCTTGCGCAGACGTGCCAACGGACTGCGGAGGGAGTATCGTGCGGCGTTGGCCGCGTGGACCTCTCCTGCCTCCAGGCGCAAAGAGCGTCATGGTATCAAGCACCTCATTGTGCAGGGACGGATATCTGAGGACAGGGAGGAGTGGGTGGAGGAGATCAGAGCACATACCAGACAGAAGTATACTTCGGAGGAGGTCAGAGGACGGGATATGGCGATGTTGGAGGAGTTGAGGAGGGATGCACAACAGAACCTATGTGACGGGTACTGCACTGAGGGACTGACAATGGCGGTGGTATGCCAGGCACGGTCACGTCTCAAGTCCAAGCGTGCCACCGGCCCCGACAGGCTGCCTTGTGAAATCCTCAAGGCATTGCCGTGGGCGACTTTGCGTGGCGTTGCTCGGATGTTTGATGAGATATTTCGCTTGGCACGGCAGTATCCGCAGGATTGGAGGCAGATTTTGATCGCCTTCATGCCCAAGCTGCCGAGCTTGACATCGCTGACAGATGCGCGGTACCTCTGTCTGCAAAACAGTCTCAGCCGTTGGTACTCTGCTTGCGTGGTGATCTTGGTCGAACAATTTGTGTCTCGGGCTGGCCTCATGGGACCCCTGGGCATCTACGGCTTCCAGGAGGGACGTAAGACGGTGGAAATTGTGGGGGCCCTCAAGGCTCTGGCTCAACACGGGGACATCTGGGGAAAAGATCAGACGGTCCATATCGCTAACGCCGATATCAAACAAGCGTTCGACCACTGCAGCCTTCTAAACGCCAAACGTGCTATGTGCCATGCCAATATTCCTGCCTATCTCCAGTATGCTTTGCTATCACCGCTGGTTTGCACTACGGGGTCGTTAGTTGTCGAGGGTATGGCCATTCACGACATCAACTGGGACGTCTGCATACGGACGGGCGGCCCTGAGGGGCCTCTTCTATTTAATCTTATCATATGTGCCATGTGGGGACCTATATTTCGGGATTGGGACAGTAGAGGTGTGGGGTATGTGCTGGAGGGCGTCTGTGGTGAGTATGAGCGACGGACAACTGTGAACCACTTTGTGTGGGCGGACAACTGCTACCTTGTCTCTGCCTCCTCAACTATGTTGGCTCAGATGATGCACGATCTAACACTACCACTACATGACTGGGGGATGAGATGGAAGGATAGCAGCCTGTTGTACATGACATGTGGGGAGAATGCTAAAGTGGACGGTGACGGACATATACTTACCAGCGAGGATTTGTGTATACCTGCGTGCTCGAGATATCAGGGCTTTAGACTTCGACGTGTTGGCAGTATGAAAGTATTGGGTCATGAGATTTTCTCCACATACCTAGTGCCTGCTCATCCTGATGTTGAATATCGCATCAAGGAGGCTCGAGCTTGTTTCATTGGACAATCGAATTTCTTTCGTAACAGAGCGGTTGCTGTTCGTGATAAGTTTTGCCGTTATCAAGACAAGGTGCAGAGTATGGCGTTGTATTGTCTAGAGACATGTACTGCGGATGCTTCCTCGCTACACATGCTCAATGCCTTCGAGGGATGGTGTTTGTGCCGTATGTTTCGACGGCCGAGGAGAGAGGAGGAGACTATGGCGGACTGGAACCGACGACGGTACCACGAGGCCAGAGAGCAATTCCGATCTTATGGATTTGCGAGTTTGGTGCAGAGATTTCTTCGTATGGTGTGGAACTCCGCGAAGGATGCTGCAGATTTCATTTCTATGATGTGTACTGCTTCTCATGAGGATATATCTTCGACGCAACGTACGTGGAGAGATCATCACATGACTACGGTTGCGTATGGCCCATTGTGGGACAGACTCAGGACGGATGCGTCTGAGTGCTTGCGGGGTATGTTTCACTTCCAAGAGGCTTCGCAGCTAAAAAGGAGACATGTTAGTTCAGGTCGAGCTGTCGGCCAGAGATGCTGGCTATTTTCTTTCTGCGAATTCTACGGACTCAAATGGTGGGAGTCCTTTGTGCCGACAGATGCTGCGTATGTTCAGTTCTGCGAGCACATGTGTACACGGACGATGCTGAGTTACTTTCAGAAAAGAAAAGGGTACGGTACAACAGGTGGGGCCCCGCAGGAGGTACTTACTATCACACAAAACGACCTACACACCTATGGGGCCCAAGAGGGCACTGCGGCGTTCAACGACAAACTGGCCAAACGTATTGCGTTACAAAATATGAAGGAGGTTGAGTACGACCTCGACTCATTTGGGATCCCTGTGTATATTTCTGGGGACAGTCTTCTGGTGGTGTCTTGGCTGCAGGGTGTCTGGAGGGTGCTAAATCGTACGTATCAAGATAGGATCAACAGAATGATAAACCAACTCGACAACATGTGTCAAAGATATGGAATTAGGCCCGCCTGTCACGGGAGGGAAATTATTGACCATACATATAGGGAATGGAACACACGTGCAGATGTACTCACTCATACGGCCCGCGTCGGGCCACCAGTGATTCGAGATAGGATCGGGCTTCACGCCCCTCAGTTACAACAGGTGTTTCGCGTTTGTGCCATCAGAGCTGGATTCGATGGTGGTGTCTCTTGCGACGGCGTGGGAGTCGGGTGCTGGGTAGATGTTGGAAGGGTATCGAGACTCTCAAGGCAGCCACTCAGCCATGAGATCATTTGGACGGAGGTGTACAGTGCGGCGTTCTCGATTGATCCAACTTCAACAGTGACTGATGCCGAGGTCTCGGCCGTTGAGCATGCGATTATGATCTTGCCGCGGGTTGTACAAGCGTATTTCGGACAGGATATGATGTGATTTTGATTGTGCTCACTCACGCCATGCCCTCGTTTGTCGTGTGTGTGTGCTTGACCTCTCATCCTCCTAATAAGAGTTGGCTTTCGCCTCTGATCGTTTGGATCGGTGAGGCTTCCGCCTACTCCCGATGCGCCCGCTCCTTGCTTCCGACTAGGCTGGAAAGCCTGCACAGTCGACCGCAAAGTCCGCAAAAAACAAAGGTTGACGGTTTACCGCCTGCGCCCAGTAACAATAACAATAACAAGTGCAGACGGTCTAGCACACACAATAACAATAACAAGTGCAGCGGCCTAGCTGACCTCGATCTCGCTGAACCCGAAGAAGACGATGAAGGCAGCGATGGCTGCCGCGCAGGCTGGCCACTGCAGTCTCTTAGAGAAGCTGGTCCGAGCCAATTTCGAGTTTGCGTTGGAGCTGGCCCAGTTTCATGATCGGGCGTCCGCAGTCGCGTCTTTGCGCTTCTGTGTTGTTTCGCGCGGGCCTGCCGCGGTCGCTCGCGCAGGCGCGCCGCGGGGATCGCGCGCTGGGCGGATCGCGGCGCGCCTTGGCGATGCTCGCTTCGCAGGTTGCCTATTATATTGATTTGGGCACCGCGCTCGCGCGGCGCTCGCGCGGCGCGGGCCCGTCGAAGGGCAAGGCAAAGGGCGCCGGCAGGGGCCGCAAAGGCGGCGGCGACCATAGCGCCAAGGGCGGCAAGGCCAAGGGCTACGGCAAAGAGCACAAGGGCAAGCCCGCGAACGACTCTCACCGCTGGCAGGGGCATTACTCGTCCGGGAGTGCCGCCAGCGGGGCGCAGGCGCCGGTGACGTCAAGCAAGCGCCAGAAGAGAGAGTGAGGGGCCGCAGCCGCCCCGCCCGACGCGGGGGCAGCACTCCCCGCGCACCCTGCGCAGTCAGCCGCGGAGCCAGTGAGGGTCCAGTCAGGTGCAGTTCTCCCCAACACATCCTGCGCTGATCTGAGTTGCTTCCAGTCGGCATTCGACGCTGCCAGCGCGCAAGCTCTGCTCGGCGAATTAGCGCCCGATGAGGTCGAGGAGCTGCGTTTCACGCGTGAGGCGCTCGGCCGCCGCGACGCGCAGCCGAAGCGCACGGACGTGCAGTGCGAGTGCATGGAAGCGTTGCGGTGGAGCGCCGCGCGTAGCCTGCGCCAGTGCATCAAAGAACGCGAGGAGCGCGTTCGGCGCATCGAAGCCCGGGCGGCGCACTTCGAGGCGTCCGGGAAGGCCGAGGCCGCGAGAAAGGCTGCGCCCCTGGAATTCAGGCCGCTTATCGCAGGCGTCAACATTCCACTTTTAAAGGAATTGGCGCGTGAGTCTGAGTGGCACGACGCAGAGTGCATCGACTTCTTCTCGCGAGGCGCCCCTCTGTTGGGTAACCTAGAATACAGCGGCAACGGTCGCGCGCTCAGCCCGGAAGAGCGCGCGGGCGACGCTAGCGCTGAGGTAGCCCGTTTGCGTGCCAGCGCGCTCGCGTGCAACGACTTGATACTTGCGTCAATTCGCGAGGATCCCCTCGCCAGCGAGCTGCTCCGTAAGACGCGGGAGGAGGCGGACTTGGGTAGGATGTCTCCGCCGCGGGCTTTTAGGCCCCACGTCTCCGCGGCCGAGCTTGCCGCTGCTTGGGGCGAAACAAGTCGTCTGGTGCCCAGGTTTGGGGTCTCACAACCGAAGCCCGACGGGTCGCTGAAAGTGCGCCCGGTGGATGACTTCGCGCGCTCCAGGGTGAACGGCGCGTGCGCTCCCGCCGAGAGATTAAGCGTAAAGGGCGCGGACCAGCTGGTAGCGGTCGCGCGCGCCTTCTTCGAGTTGCACGGCGCGCTTCCCGTGCTGTGGAAAGCGGACATAGATTCGGCTTGCCGCCGCATCCCGTTGGCCCCCGCCGATAGGTGGGCCGGTGTCAGTGTTTTCAAGGAGGGCGGCCGCCTGTGGTTCTCGCAGCACCTGGTCTGCCCGTTCGGCGCGCTAGCATCTTGCCACGACTGGGACCGCGTGGCCGCCATGCTCTCGCACTTCGCAAGGCGGCTCGCCAAGCTGCCAGTTTCGCGATACGTAGACGATTCTTTTGCGCCGGATCGCCCCGGCGCGGCCGACCGAGCCACGCGGTGCTTCGCTCGCATCGTCAGAGCCGCGCTCGGCAGCGACGCAGTAGCCGACGCGAAGCTGGCGCACGGGGCCCAGCTGGTCGTGTCGGGGCTGCTCTTCTCTTTCTGTGCGCAGGGCGTGCACTGCGAGCCAGCGTGCGACAAGCGGCTCAAGTGGTCGTCCGCCATCTGGCATGCTTTAGAGTGCGGCACGTTGTACCATGGCGCTGCGAAGAAACTCGCGGGCGCTCTCGCATGGGCCGCGCAGCACTTGTTTAAGCGCTTGGGCAGAGCAATGCTCCGCCCACTCTTCGCGCACCAGCACAAGCGCTCCACTCGTATCGGGCGGCCTCTCGAGCTCGTGCTGCACTCGTGGGCCCAAGTGCTCGAGCTCAGGCTGCGCGAAGTGGCCAGCTGGAAGCAAGGGGACATGCCCGCGGCACACATGTTCTGCGATGCGCGGAGCACGCCCCCTCGCGCCGCCGCCGTGCTTATTATAGACGGCGAAATCCTGTTTGCCGAGTACGCTCCCGACGCAGCTCTGATGCGGAATTTCAAGCGCCGACGCGACGGCCAGGCGGTCGCATTAGGCTTGTCGTCTTTTGTAGAGCGACTGGCAGGTCGGGCGCTGGAAGTGTTCTCGGACAATTCGGGGGCCGAGAGGTCAGTGGCGCGCGACGCGCTTGGCGCTTGGACTGCGCAGGGCGGGCGTGCCTGGCGATCCGGCCATCGCGCGCGCCGCCAGACTCAGTCGCTCGTTTTTCGCGCGCAGGCAATGTTGTGGAAGCTGATCTGATTGCGAATGTACTGGTCGCGAACGGTTCTGAACACGTCGCTGACGCACGCGGCGCAAAGTGGGAACGCGTAGCAGGTTTAACGCGTTTCTCCGCAGACGCCCAAGCGCGCTTGCGTTAGATCGCGGCGGGAGTTCCGCGGCCGCCGAGCGGACCGCCTCCAGCGCCGTCCCGTGTGCTGAAACAACCGGCGCTCGCGCGCGGCGGCCCGGGCGCGCTCGCGCTGGGTGCCGCGTGCGACAGCGCGGCGAAGCGAGAGCTGGCACGCGCTTACAGGGCGGTGCGCAGCGTGCAATTGTCACCCGTGCCCACGGGCGGCCCTCGCAAGTCCATCGCGAGCGGCGCTCGCGGGCCCCCGTCGCCAGTGGCCATACAGGAAAGCCTGGCCCGCGCACGAGCTTTGGCAATCGTCGGCTCGGCGCCGCGTTCCTTCGGGTCCTGGAGGGCTGCGGTCCGGGCGTGGGTGGCATTCGCGCAGCGTCGCCTCAACAAAGACGGCTGCAGCGCACTGCCGCCGTCGGCCGACGAGGTGTGCTCGGTCGCGCTCGAATTTCGCAACCCGCGCACCTTCGGCAATTACGTGGCACAGCTTAAGAGGGCATGCCAGTTGTTGGGCCGGGACGCGTCGGCCTTTTCGCATCCTTCGGTTAGGGGCGCCCGCAAGGCCATTGGGAAGCGGCGCCCCGTGAGGCGGCCGCTGAAGTGTTTCGTCTTGCTCTCGCACTTATCGGCTATGCTCGACTTTGTAAGTGCCGACAGTGCGATGTGCGCGCTCTTCTTGGTGTCCTGGGGGTTCGCTCTTCGCGTGCCCTCCGAGGCCCTCTTGATTGAGCGAGGCGACCCATCGGCATTTAAAGACTTCGCCTTCTCTGACGAAGACCTGCGAAGGCCAGTCGCAAGAGTCGTCATCTTCTTTTCGGGCGATTCTGCAACGTTGCATTTCTCGCGGCGTAAGCACCGCGACGGCCCGACGGTCGCGGTGCGGAATTGCTGGTGCAAACATTCGCGTGCGACTTGCATTGTGCACGCGGCGCGTAGTTTTTTTCGAGGGCATTTGCGTCGGCTCGCCCGCGTTCCCGCATATGCGGCGAGTCGACGGCAGCGGCGTCGTCTCAATCGCCGTGCCCGCGCAGCGCGCGATCAAGGCGGCGGCACGGCGCGCCGGCGCACCAAGCGCGGCTTCTTTTACGAGCAAAGCGTTCCGCCGCGGGCACGCGGAGACTAGGCGGAGGTGCAACGGCCGCCTTTGTGAGATCCTCCGCGGTGCCGATTGGAGTTCCCGCGCTTTCAAAGAATACCTTGATATGCACCAGCACGAGGGCGATGCGACCGCCGAAGCAGTGGCCGCAGCCTCGTGCCCAAGCGCCGGCGCGGCGAGCAGACCAGGTTCTGCATCGGTGCCTGCGGGGTAAGTCGGCCAGGCTCACGATCGGCGCGCACTGCGACCTGCACCCGGGGTTCCATTGGGTCGCGGCAGGCCTGGCGCGCCCCGACCAGGCGAGCCTGGGCGCTTGCGGCGTTGGGTTCAACGCCCAGGCTGGCCTGGTCGGGGACTCTGCGCGTCACCGAAAGCACCCCCCACGCGGGGCGCTCGCGGGGCGGCAGCCCTGGCTCGGTCGCCGCACCCATCGTTGGGGCGTTGGCGCCCGAGGTCGGGTACACAAGGAAGGTGCGCCGAGATTTGTGGGGGGCGCACGCCCGTAGGGTGCTGCGCGGGCACAAATCGCAGGTCGGCCGACGGGCCCTGCGGCGCCGCGGCGCGTGCGACGCGCGCCGCGTGCAGCCCGACCGCAGCGCGCACCGCCCGCAGTCGCGTCTTTGCGCTTCTGTGTTGTTTCGCGCGGGCCTGCCGCGGTCGCTCGCGCAGGCGCGCCTCGGGGATCGCGCACTGGGCGGATCGCGGCGCGCCTTGGCGATGCTCGCTTCGCAGTTTGTTTATTATTTTGATTTGGGCACCGCGCTCGTGCGGCGCTCGCGCGGCGCGGGCCCGTCGGCCGTTCTGCCCCACCCACCCGCTCCTGGGTGCGGGGCTGCCTCGGTCGTTGGCGGCCCCTTGTCCGCCTCTCCCGCCCGCCCTTGGGGTTCAACGCCCAGGCTGGCCTGGTCGGGGACTGCGCGTCACCGAAAGCACCCCCCACGCGGGGCGCTCGCGGGACGGCGGCCCTGGCTCGGTCGCCGCACCCATCGTTGGGGCGTTGGCGCCCGAGGTCGGGTACACAAGGAAGGTGCGCCGAGATTTGTGGATAGTAATACTGCACCTACGGACCTAAGAATTTCACAGGCACGCGCGTCATAACCCACTACAGGTGCGAAAAATCTGGTTTCTCAAAATGAATTGTCAAATATCTTTCAAATCTTCACACAAACGACCCAAAGTTACCACATTGTCCTTTCTGGCCGGGTCGACCAACTCGCTCCACCGTGCGCCGGAATTCCTCTAGCTCATCGATAACGAAGAGCTCTACGAGGTATCTCAGCTCGATCGGGTACCGTTACTGCCAAAAAGCGTCGCGGCGGGATCGGCCGTTTCGAGTGATCTTGACGGGTGCTATCAGTTTTCTGTACTTAACTCGCGAGTTAGAATAGCTACAGAGCTGATGCTTACAGAAACGGATTCAGAATCATCAGGCGTGTTCGTCTGTTGCATCCAGAGGTCTGAATTCGGTCTGCTACTCGAGCTAGGTCCGCAACTATTCGTATTCTTCGAGTCATCTTAACAGATGCTGTCGGATTTCTGTACTTAACTCGGGCTGTAGGGGAGCTACAGAGCTGGTACGCACAGGAGTCGATTCGAAATGAGCGTTCGTCTGTTGCATCGAGAGGTCTGAACTCGGTCTGCTACTCGAGCTAGGTTCGCAAAGCTATTCGTATTCTTCGAGTTCTCTTAACATATGTTCTCGGTCTTCTGTACTTAACTCGATCTGTAGGAGAGCTACAAAGCTGGTGCGCACATGAATCAATTCATAATCATCAGGCGCGTTCGTCTGTTGCATCTAGAGCTCTGAACTTAGTCTTCTACTAGAGTTAGGTCCGCAAAACTATTTGTACTCAAGCGATGCTTTTCGAAATAATAGTGAATTGCTTCACTTAACTCGAGCTGCAGATGAGCTTGAGAGCTCTCCTGCACATAAATCAGCAGAGAATCATGAGGCGCGCTAGTCTGAAGTATCTAGACGCTTGGCTTGTGTCTGTGATGAGCGCAGACGCCGAACAACTAGTCAGACTCTGCTATTTTTCTTGTGATCGAATCGTTTCCTGGGCTGAACTTGATGTGCAGATGCGCTTGAGAGCTCTGAGGCATTGAAATGGAACGAGAATCATCATGCGCGCTATTGGAAAGTATGTAGACTCCCGCGCTCAGTCTGCTATTAGCGCTAGGGCTGAACACCGGTTCGTACTCTGCTATTTCCTTGGAAATGGTGTTGTTTTTCTTGGTATCACTTTTCTACAGAGCTGGTCAGCACAGCAATGGGAAGGGAACCGTAAGAGGGAATAGTGAAATCTATCTAGAAGCCTGAGATCAGTCTGCTATCAGCGCTCGGGCCGAGAAACTATTCGTTCTCTGCCGATTCTTTGGACATAATATGGCAAGGAAGCTCTGCGAGTCTCCCGGCGGTGAGAACGGTTGACGGTTTGCCGCCGGCGCCTAGTGGGCGCTACTAAGTGTTCCGAGCATCACCGTGCGAGGCAAGAGCTCTACGAGCGTCGTGGCGGCGAGAGAGCGACAGAGGAGGGAGGAAGTCAGCAGAAGACAGAGTCAGGGGCAGAGACGGAGGGATCAGGGAGCAAGAAGGGAGCAGGGCGGCAGAGAAGGAGCAGGAAGGGAGAGGGAGGGAATCTAGAGGGGGGAAGAAGAGATCAGAGAGGGATGAAGGCGGGGGCAGGGAGGGAAGAGTGAGGCAGACAGCAAAGAGGCAGGGAGAGAGGGAGGAATGAAGAAGACGCAGTCAGGGAGGGAGCGGGAGAAAGGAGGGAGCAGGGAGGGGTGAAGCAGGGAGGAAGGGAGCACAAGAGGGATGGAGGAGCAGGGAGGGAGGGGGCAGGCAGGGAGGATGCAGGCTGGGAGGGAAGGGGGGGCGAGGGGGGGAGCAGGGAGGGAAGAAGCAGAGAGGGGGCGTGGAGAGGAAGGGAGGGAGCAGGGAGGAAGGAAGATATCATAAGAGGGGGGAAGTGAGGGAGAAGGGGGCAGGAAGGGCGAATGAAAGGCAGCGGGGGAGCGGAACAGGGGAACGACAGGGGCAGCAGCGGAGCAAAAACAGGGGCCGCAAACGGGCGGCAGAAGGGGCGCAGCAGGGGGCAGCGGGAGCAGCAGAGGAGCAAGAGCGGGGAAGGAGACGCGTTGCAGCAGGCGGGGGCGGCCATGGCCATGGTCGTGGCCGTGACCGTGGCCGTGGCCGTGGCCGTGGCCGTAACCTGGAGGCCGTGGCCGTGGCGGTGGCGGCTGTGGCCGTGGTGGGCTTGGCCGTAGTGGCCGTGGCCGTGTGTGGCCGTGGCTGTGGTATCCTGGTTTTGCTCGCTGTGGTGTGCTGGCCGTGGCTGTACTGGCCGTGGCCTTGGTGGCCATGTGCGTAGTGGCCATGGGCGTCTGGCCGTGGGCGTGGTGGACGTGAGCGGGTTGGCCGTGCCGCGTTGGCCGTGGTGGTCGTGGCCGTGTTGGCCGTGATGGTCGTGGCCGTGGTCGTGGTCGTGGCCGTGGTCAAAGTCGTGGCCCTGGCCCTGGCCCCTCGCCGTGGCCATGGGCGTGGCCGTGGCCGTGGCCATGGCCGTGGCTGTGGTCGTGTCCGTGGCCGTGGCCGTGGCCGTGGCCGTGGCCGTGGCCGAGCTTGACGCCTAGCAGGGCGCTGCGTTTCCCTGCGGAAGATACTGGCCATGTTGTCTGTCCCCGAGGCGCAGCTGTATGGGTCTCACGACCTGCGCCGCGGCCATGCGCAGGCTCGGGCACCGCGCCCGTTCGCGCACTGCGACCGCGGGTCGCGCGCAGGACGTGCTGGAAGCTGGCAGTCGCCTGGGGGCGATTCTAAACGCCAGGCAGTGGCGTTCACCAGCGTTCCTGTAATACATCAATTCTCAGGACCTTGAGTCCGGGGCCGTACTGGAGGCGCGACGCGTTTCGCATTATGGCGGTTCGTCATACATTCGTTGCTCTCAGGCGCATTTTGGGCGACTCTTCCAGCAGCGACTGTTCGCCCGATTCAAAAGTCCTGGCGGCGCATCGAGCCGCAGCGTACCGGGGCGTCCTCCGCGTGGGAGGTCTGCGTGGTATCGTGCCTTGCTTCGCCCCTGCAGGCGCGCGCAGCGGGGGGTGGTGCCGCCCGAGCCGCCAGGGCCAGCGTCTGGTTCTTCGCGCCCCTGGCGTCTCGGGCGTCGCTGCGACGCGCGTCAAGGCGACGCTCGGGGCGCTGCGCCCCGTGTCTGGGCAACGGCGGCCCCCTGGGCCGCGGAGCGGGCCTTGGTATCCCTCTGCCCTCCCGCGGCGCGTGGGGCAGGCATTTGTGATGAGCCCACGCGTGTGGACAGTGCTCGCGTTGTCGCAGGGTTGGTGGGCCGGCGCGAATGCTGCCCCTGCGTCTGCCCCGATCCCCTGCCCTCTCCTCGTCCTTGGGGCGGGGGGGCGAGGACAGGGTCGGGGTGCGGGGCCGTGTGTGGGTGGGGGAGGGATGCTGGTGCTGCTCTGCCTGTGCGGCTGCCGCTTCTGCTTTCTTGCGCTCTCTTGTCCGCGGTTCGCCCGTGTGCTGACGCTGGCCTGTTGGCCAAGGCTGTGTGGGCTGGCGGGCGCGTGCCCCGTCGCGCTGGGCCACCGCGTCGTGGTGCGTGTTGCGCTGGGGCGGCCTCGTGGGGCCCGTCCGTGCGCGCGGCTGTGCGCGCCGTGGTTTCGCCCCTCTGGGGAGGGGGCCGCGCGGGGCTCGTGGCGTGCGCGCCGCCCATGCGACGCTGCGTGCCGCGTTGTGTCCCACCCGCCCGCGCCCTGAAGGTTCTTCGCGCCCCTGGCGTCTCGGGCGTCGCTGCGACGCGCGCCATGGCGACGCTCGGGGCGCCGCGCCCCATGTCAGGGGGGCGGCGTTCCCCTGGGCCGCGGGGCGGGCCTTGGTTTCCCTCTGCCCTCCAGCGTCGCGTGGGGCAGGCATTTGTGGGACAAGCATGTATCTTGCCGAGTATCAGGCTCGGCTCAAGAAGACCCCGCAGAAGCAATCATGTTGGGGACAGCCAAACTTTTTTCTTGTCGCAACTCAGGGCGCCGCCGAGAAAAATTCGGCACGCAGAGCTGAGCGCAGCCAGGTCTGTCATCGGAGGCCCTGGGCTGTGGGCGCCAATGTCTCTGTTCTACCATCTTGGGGAAGCGCGTGGGTTTCCAATCTCGTTCAAGGCAGTGGGCGCGATATGTTTGTCGATGATGACCAACGCATGCCTCGCATTTACCTGCGACTGGGACGCAACGTTCGTGTCGTATAAGACGCAGAGGGGTAGCCAGAAACATTTCTAGGTACTAGTGCACCCGCGGAGTGACTGGAAGAGGCAATGCGCTGTCTTTCAGTTGAAGGATAGTTTTGATTCGTTTGACCTGGAAGGGTTCAAGAATACGCACGGCCTAAATCTTGACGACCCTGGCGCAATATCCAGTGATCTTACAAAGCTGATCTGCACATTTTTGCTGCCCACCATGCATCGCTTCGACCCGGTGATTGAGCTCGGGCGGAAGCTGGGACGGTGGTTCGATGAGGACGACGTGAAGGGCGTGGCAACCAGCGCCGTTACGACGTTATCGGCTCTTCGGTCCTTCGTGGCTCCTTGTGTTGTTTTTCGTTTGATCAGCACGTGGTGCAACGGTTGGTGCACGCAACGACGCTTTCAGGACACGGCCGGTCGCTGCAGGCTTTGTAAGGGGTGCGACGGCGAGGACTCGATCGAGCACTGCGCTGTGTGTGGATACCAGTGGAGTGTCTTTGAGATTCGATTAGGGCAACAGTGCCTAGGTATACCCTACGGGAGTTTTTTTTTGCCTCGGCGGCAACCGTCTGGACATGATGATTTTCCGAGCTTGCCACGTTTACGCGGTGAAGAGGGCTGTCGACGCCAACAGGGCCAACGCAAGAGAAAGCGATGCCAGTCAAGTGGGCAGCATGGTGTGGCATGGGCACCGGACCGCGTCGCTGTGCGACGCTAGGTTGGCCAACCGATACCGATGGCAGTGCGGTGGAATGTGATTCTTGACCCACCTGCCATTGTTTCGGCATGTGCCCAGTCTCACCGATACGAGTTTGGGGTGGACTCGTATCGCTCCCTGCTGGCGCTAATTTGCTTGGAATTCGTTCTCCTGAACAGTGGCGACTCAAGCGCTGCGTGTTGGCGCCGTTTGTGCAGCGATCGTGCGCCCCTCTACGAGATCGGATGTGAGTCCGTGCCGCTTAGCCTCTGACGCGCGCCAATGTGCCGTTGGGGTGGCGGCATTGTGGTTCTTCTCCTCGTGTGTCCGTGGTCCGCAGGCTCTGTGGCCTCCTGAGACCCCTTTGGGACTTCTGTTAGGGGCAAAGAATGAATACCCCGCAGAAGCACTCATGTTGTCCACTTCTCCTCGCCAGTTTTTCTCTGTTAGGAACAGTGCACTGTCTGGCATGTGTGCGTGCAGATCGGGCGGGATGGGGTAAAGATGCCACTGTTTTGCAGGCAGCAGGGACCTTCGAGGATGTCATTCTCATACGTGCCGTGCTACCTGACATGCTCAAGCGGGGTTGACTTTTTTGTTTTTGTTTTTGTTTGTTCTTGTCAGTTGTCGGCAGTTCGTGGTGTGCCGCTCGGACGCCGTCGCTTGCTCTGCCCTCTCCGATTCCTTGTGGACCAACGGTTGCGAACTTCACATGGCCCCATCTTCCAGTGGAGCAATCGGATACGAGGCCGTTGTGGAGGACGGAGGGAAACATGCTAATACAACATTCCAGACCAACGTCCATTGATTGTATCGCGTAGATTCAGCTAGGCTAGGATTTCCCATCTTTGCGAACACTTCCTTTCCCATTTGAGGCGTTCATCAACACGGCCCAAACTTCATATTGTTTTTTTCATCGCCGCAGGTCTGGACAGAAAAATGCCCTCGTGACTATATGTACCACATCGTCGTCGCATTCATGGTGATACCTCCGATACGATTGAAGCAGCTTGTTCGCGCCCGTTCAGTATGTTGCCGATTTGTTTCATGGCAAGCTGTTTGTTGAAACAGAAGCGTTTCGCCGACCAAAGTGCTCTCTGAATCTCACACATACGATGGTGCATGTCCGCTTGTGTAAGTATTTCTCTCTCAGTCACCTTCCCAATTATCTCCAACAATTTCGTGTCCTTTGAGATTCATCAAGTGTGGTCCCACCTTTTGGTTATTTGGTTCGAATTTGTAGCCCGTGGATCCCTTCCAATGTGCACATGCAATGGTCTCGTCCATCAATCATCCCTACCAACGTCAAGGAATGATATGTCCGCAGGAGTTCATGTAACAAAAACATCCGCGCATCCTTGCCCATGCAGTTACCCAGCAGCACTGGTGTTCAAACAGTTCCAAGGCGTGCACATGGTCCGTAATTTACCTCAGCGAAGCTCGGCGACAATGATCATCTGTGTCATTTGGGCGTAATGCAGTGGGCGAGGCTTCACCACACACTCTATACGCAATAGGAACCACCAGCGGCCGCTCAAGCTCACGGTCACTGGCAGTCGGAAGCGAAACATCCTGACTAGGCGGATCTCTCTCCCGGTTTTGCCCTGGTCAAACTTTTTTTCTTCAGGCAGGTCTCTGATCGGGGGCCCTTCTCATGGAAGGCTCCCGCCCTCAACACCGGTTCGGCTTTGCCCCCGAGCGTTTCTGCTCCCGCGCCGCTGCTGTGATTTTGCAGGTGGTGTAGCTTTGCGCGTGCTTGGGTCCCCAGGCTCGCGGTGTCCACCCCTATTCGAGAGGTCGAGACACCATTCGTCAGGATAGCCCACGGGGCCCCGCCCTAAAACAGCAGCCGTGCCGCGCTGGTAGCCCCACCATTTGCGATCTTAGCCAGGTGTCGCCGCTGATGTCAAACATGGAGGGGGGGTGCAAGAGGAGGATCATGTAGGTGGAGTTGGACGTGTAATTACTGAGGAATGAGGGCGGGGATGATGATGATGATGATGATGATGATGATGATGATGATGATGATGATGATGATGATGATGATGATGAGGATGAGGATGAGGATGAGGATGAGGATGAGGATGAGGATGAGGATGAGGATGAGGATGAGATGATGATGATGGATGATGATGATGATGATGATGATGATGATGATGATGATGATGATGATGATGATGATGATGATGATGATGATGATGATGATGATGATGATGATGATGATGATGATGATGGATGATGATGATGATGATGATGATGATGATGATGATGATGATGATGATGATGATGATGATGATGAGATGATGATGATGATGATGATGGAGGAGGAGGAGGAGGAGGAGGAGGAGGAGGAGAGGAGGAGGCAGGAGGAGGAAGCAGGAGAGGAGGAGAGGAGGAGAGGAGGAGGAGGAGGAGGAGGAGGAGGAGGAGGAGGATCAGGGGGAGGAGTGGGCCAGGGCGCAGGAGGCGCCCATGTGCTTTTGCTGGCGCGATCCTCTGGCCTCGCTCCTCTGCTTCTTGCTGCTCCGCTTGAAGGCAGGGACCTCGCTGCGGGGCCTGCTCGGTCCCAGGCGTTCAGTGCGTCGCGAAGCGCGCGCAGACTCCAGACGACCCGACGCGGGGTCACCCTTCAGCTCCCCCCGGGTCGCCCCAGGGCGCTTCGCTGCGATGGTCAAGGTGCTCGTCGGCAGGGCCGAGGACCAGCGGCCGACTCGGCGGCCGTCCGGGCCGCCGCGCGGGCGGCCTCGGCTCGCATCCCCTTCGGCCTTGCCCCCCTCTCTTTGCCGAGGGTGCCTCGCGTGTCGCGGTGCCGCCACGGCCGTTTGGATGGAAGGCGGAACGGGGGGCCTCCAGAGGGGGCTGCACTGGAGATTCCAGGGTACCTCGGATGGCTTCCGATGTCGAGGAGGAGGAGGAGGAGGAGGAGGCGGAGGAGGAGGATGAGGCGGAGGAGGAGGAGGAGGAGAAGGATGATGATGATGATGATGATGATGATGATGATGATGATGATGATGATGATGATGATGATGATGATGATGATGATGATGATGTGATGCTGATGCTGATGCTGCTGCTGATGTGATGCTGATGATGATGATGATGATGATGATGATGATGATGATGATGATGATGATGATGATGATGATGATGATGATGATGATGATGATGATGATGATGATATGATGATGATGATGATGATGATGATGATGATGATGGATGATGATGATGATGATGATGATGATGATGATGATGAGGATGGATGATGATGATGATGATGCGGAGGAGGAGGAGGAGGAGGAGGAGGAGGAGGAGGAGGAGGAGGAGGAGGAGGAGGAGGAGGAGGAGGAGGAGGAAGGAGGAGGAGGAGGAGGCGGAACGGGGGGCCTCCAGAGGGGGCTGCACTGGAGATTGCAGAGTGCCTCGGATGGCTTTCGGTGGCCTGCGGCGGTCTAGGGCCTTCAGTGCTTCGAGGGAGCCTCCATGCGCCCCGCCTGCAGCGGGAGGTCAGCCTCCTCGGGCACGGGCCCCGAGTCGCGAGTAGGAAACACCCCTCCAGCGGAAGCGCTTCGGTGGGTTTCCCGGAGAGAGAGAGAGAGAGAGAGAGAGAGAGAGAGAGAGAGAGAAAGAGAGAACAGAGAGAGAGAGAGAGAGGGAGGAGAGAGAACAAAGAGAGAGAGAGAGAGACATATAGAGAACACATTACCCTGCGACGTACCCAACCCGCGTGCATCAAATGGCAAGAGGAGTATGCCAACATTAGCAGGACCAACGACAGTGTAGACGCGGCGATTTGCTGTGCAAGCTACATGGGATGCGCATGCGTTGCACGATTCACAGGACGACGATCGAAAGAACGAGGCTTGAGGCCCCAGGATCGAAGAAGAACGGGTACGGGAACGAGGGGTAGGAGAGGGATGGAATGGAGGGCGGGGGGGGCGAAAGGCCATCGCGGAAGCAGCAGCATGCATGGAGAAGGTGAGGCGGGGAATAGGACGACGATGAAAGTGGCGGGAGGAGACAGAAGACTGCCGCGTTTTTCAAGTGCGAGCTAAACCCGCAGCGCTGCCTGCGCCATGTCGTCGCAGAGTTCCACATGATAAAACTTGTTTAGAGTGCAAGGAACGAGCGAGGCGTAGCTCGCCCGCTAGCTTCTCCGCCTCCTTCCCGCACATTTCAGCGCGGGAGCTGAACGCTCGCAGGCGCGCCGCCAGGTCTGCGGGCGGCCCGCGGGAAAGAAACTCAAGGCCGGGGTCGCGCATCATCAATCGGTTGTCCATCGTCCAAAGTTGCACTGGCGACGTACTGGTTGAACGCGGAGCGAGCAGCATCACGCGCGTGCCTGAACGCCACGCAGGTACAGTGCACGCGCGATTGGGACTTCAGGTCGATCACGCGCGTCTCCACCAGGCGACTTCAGGTCGATCACGCGACAGTTTCACAGATCGCAGCCCCCCATGGATGGCGAGGTCTAATCTGTATCCCCGTAGGGCGTCACTCCGCTGGGCCCCCCACGCAGCCTTCGAAAGTGGCGACAGTTTCACAAATCGCAGCCCCCCAGGGATGGCGAGGTCTGATCTGGATCCCCGTAGGGCGTCACTCCGCTGGGCCCCCCAGCAGGCCGCGAAAGTGGCGATAGTTTCGCAGATCGCAGCCCCCCAGGGATGGCGAGGTCTAATCTGAGTCCCCGTAGGGCGTCACTCCGCTGGCCACCCCAGCAGCCCTCGAAAGTGGCGACAGTTTCGCAGATCGCAGCCCCCCAGAGATGGCGAGGTCTAATCTACGTCCCCGTGGGGCGTCACTCCGCTGGCCACCCCAGCAGCTTTCGAAAGTGGCGACAGTTTCGCAGATCGCAGCCCCCCCAGGGATGGCGAGGTCTAATCTGAGTCCCCGTAGGGCGTCACTCCGCTGGCCACCCCAGCAGCCCTCGAAAGTGGCGACAGTTTCACACATCGCAGCTGGCGAGGTCTAATCTGAGTCCCCGTAGGGCGTCACTCCGCTGGCCACCCCAGCAGCCCTCGAAAGCGGCGACAGTTTCGCAGATCGCAGCCCCCCAGGGATGGCGAGGTCTAATCTGAGTCCCCGTAGGGCGTCACTCCGCTGGCCACCCCGGCAGCCCTCGAAAGCGGCGACAGTTTCGCAGATCGCAGCCCCCCAGGGATGGCGAGGTCTAATCTGAGTCCCCGTAGGGCGTCACTCCGCTGGCCACCCCAGCAGTCCGCGAAAGTGGCGACAGTTTCACAGATCGCAGCCCCCCAGGGATGGCGAGGTCTAATCTGAGTCCCCGTGGGGCGTCACTCCGCTGGCCACCCAGCAGCCCCCGAAAGTGGCGACAGCTTCACAAACCGCAGCCCCCCAGGGATGGCGAGGTCTAAATCTGAGTCCCCGTAGGGCGTCACTCCGCTGGGCCCCCCAGCAGGCCGCGAAAGTGGCGATAGTTTCGCAGATCGCAGCCCCCCAGGGATGGCGAGGTCTAATCTGAGTCCCCGTAGGGCGTCACTCCGCTGGCCACCCCAGCAGCCCTCGAAAGTGGCGACAGTTTCGCAGATCGCAGCCCCCCAGAGATGGCGAGGTCTAATCTAAGTCCCCGTGGGGCGTCACTCCGCTGGCCACCCCAGCAGCCTTCGAAAGTGGCGACAGTTTCACAGATCGCAGCCCCCCAGGGATGGCGAGGTCTAATCTGAGTCCCCGTAGGGCGTCACTCCGCTGGCCACCCCAGCAGCCCTCGAAAGTGGCGACAGTTTCACAGATCGCAGCCCCCCAGGGATGGCGAGGTCTAATCTGAGTCCCCGTAGGGCGTCACTCCGCTGGCCACCCCAGCAGCCCTCGAAAGTGGCGACAGTTTCGCAGATCGCAGCCCCCAGGGATGGCGAGGTCTATCTGAGTCCCCGTAGGGCGTCATCTCCGCTGGCCCCCCCGGCAGCCCTCAAAGCGGCGACAGTTTCGCAGATGGCAGCCCCCCAGAGATGGCGAGGTCTAATCTCAGTCCCCGTGGGGCGCCACTCCGCTGGCCACCCCAGCAGTCGCGAAAGTGGCGACAGTTTCACAGATCGCAGCCCCGCAGGGATGGCGAGGTCTTAATCTGAGTCCCCGTAAGGCGTCACTCCGCTGGCCACCCCAGCAGCCCCCGAAAGTGGCGACAGTTTCACAAATCGCAGCCCCCCAGGGATGGCGAGGTCTAATCTGAGTCCCCGTAGGGCGTCACTCCGCTGGCCACCCCCAGCAGCCCTCGAAAGTGGCGACAGTTTCACAGATCGCAGCCCCCCAGGGATGGCGAGGTCTAATCTGAGTCCCCGTAGGGCGTCACTCCGCTGGCCACCCCAGCAGTCCTCGAAAGTGGCAACAGTTTCACAGATCGCAGCCCCCCAGGGATGGCGAGGTCTAATCTGAGTCCCCGTGGGGCGTCACTCCGCTGGCCACCCCAGCAGCCCTCGAAAGTGACGACAGTCTCGCAGATCGCAGCCCCCCAGGGATGGCGAGGTCTAATCTGAGTCCCCGTGGGGCGTCACTCCGCTGGCCCCCCCAGCAGCCCTCGAAAGTGGCGACAGTTTCACAGATCGCAGCCACCCAGGGATGGCGACCGCAGGCGGGAGGAGGCGGGAGGCGGGGAGGAAGAAAGGTGGAGACCGCAGTGCTCTATTCAAAACGAGTACCCAACGCAGGAGGGTTGGGGCAATTACCCTGCGACGTACCCAGCCCGCGTGCATCAAATGGCAAGAAGAGTATGCCAACATTAGCAGGAGCAACGACAGTGTAGACGCGGCGATTTGCTGTGCAAGCTACATGGGATGCGCATGCGTTGCACGATTCACAGGACGACGATCGAAAGAACGAGGATTGAGGCCCCAGGATCGAAGAAGAACGGGTACGGGAACGAGGGGTAGGAGAGGGATGGAATGGAGGGCGGGGGGGGCGAAAGGCCATCGCGGAAGCAGCAGCATGCATGGAGAAGGTGAGGCGGGGAATAGGACGACGATGAAAGTGGCGGGAGGAGACAGAAGACTGCCGCGTTTTTCAAGTGCGAGCTAAACCCGCAGCGCTGCCTGCGCCATGTCGTCGCAGAGTTCCACATGATAAAACTTGTTTAGAGTGCAAGGAACGAGCGAGGCGTAGCTCGCCCGCTAGCTTCTCCGCCTCCTTCCCGCACATTTCAGCGCGGGAGCTGAACGCTCGCAGGCGCGCCGCCAGGTCTGCGGGCGGCCCGCGGGAAAGAAACTCAAGGCCGGGGTCGCGTATCATCAATCGGTTGTCCATCGTCCAAAGTTGCACTGGCGACGTACTGGTTGAACGCGGAGCGAGCAGCATCACGCGCGTGCCTGAACGCCACGCAGGTACAGTGCACGCGCGATTGGGACTTCAGGTCGATCACGCGCGTCTCCACCAGGCGACTTCAGGTCGATCACGCGACAGTTTCACAGATCGCAGCCCCCCAGGGATGGCGAGGTCTAATCTGTATCCCCGTAGGGCGTCACTCCGCTGGGCCCCCCACGCAGCCTTCGAAAGTGGCGACAGTTTCACAGATCGCAGCCCCCCAGGGATGGCGAGGTCTAATCTGATCCCCGTAGGGCGTCACTCCGCTGGGCCCCCCAGCAGCCTCGAAAGTGGCGACAGTTTCGCAGATCGCAGCCCCCCAGGGATGGCGAGGTCTAATCTGAGTCCCCGTAGGGCGTCACTCCGCTGGCCCCCCAGCAGCCCTCGAA